TTTACTAACTAGAGTGTAAATTTATTAACTGCATCTATCTCATCCATTTCATTTGATTGTGATAAATGTACTAAGTTACTAAGGGTAAAATCATTTTTGCAAATAAGATGTAAAATTATTGGTCAACCGATTAAAAGTCAAATATTATACAGTTATTATACGGTAAATGCGCAGATTTCTTGTATAAATACAAGTACATTATTACTTTATGGATCAAAAGTTCGTTTAATATAATTTTATACACATGGTGGTTGTCTACTATGTTTTTCCGATTGAAATGTCTTCATAAATATAAATTATTTCTAATTGTTTTCTTTTTTAATAAGACTACCTATACTAAATCAGGAAAAAATTGGAAACAAAAATTGTATATTTACAGAATTATTTCCATCCAAAAAACATGCTGAGCCCTCTATTTATATTTTATTATATAACATATGACTCTATACTAGCGATAGGAACTATCCTAATATTCGAATATCATTGTTCGATACTACAATACACGAAATCTAACGAAATCCACTAATCTACAATCTAACGAAAATTATTCGTTTAAGTTTTCATGTAACACCCCCATAAGACGTTTAATAATAATATTATATAATTTGTAGTACATAAAGAGACCAGCGGGAAGTGGGTTCGTCGCCAGTGATATTGACTATTACGTATATATATATATATATATATATACAGAGCAATTAAAATACAAAAAATAAAAAAAATAAAATGTATGCAAAATACTCGTATATCATAATTAAATTATTATTAATAATAATGTACTTTTATTAGTATAAAGTCACTAGTTAAAGGATTAGTACATTTGCCCGACATTTAATTGCCCGACACTATACTTGTCAAACTATATTATAAATAAATATGTGTCAACAATTATTAAAAATTTCAATAAAATATTATATTATACCTATTATGTTATTTACAAATTAATGTTAAATTTTAAAATTATACAACTAATAATTGTGTCAAAAATTAATAATAACACAAACATTATACTACTTACAATTTAATGTTATGAACGATTCCCCTTAGAAATGATAAATATGATTGATTTCCCTTGTCATTTATAGTAATTATAAATAATTAAGATAAAGATTATTAGGATAGAATATTAAGATAATAATTAAGAAAAATGTATTAGTGTAATTATTGTACTGATACGTTTTTCTCGTTCAGCATATTCTTTGCGAGTTGGAGTATGTGCCTTTCCACGAATTATATCTTCAGCTCTCCGTTTCATTTGAATTTGCTCTTTTTTAATTTTTTCAATAATTGTTAAACACCAACATGACATTTTTCAACAAGAGTTTCAAAATGTCTGTGCCAACCCTCTACGCGATTTTGAGTTCTAGGAATTCCTAATTCTATTCACTCAAATACGGACCAAAATGTTGGTGGAAATAAAAGAGCTGTAAGACTTACATTACCTCCTGTTATTATCCTTCGAATTCTACCATGCACATAATTGTTCTCAAACCACTGCATTATCCCAAAAGCTTCTTCGAGAATAGTGGATTTCAATTCATCGAATGCACCTGGTATTTCGGTGGGTGGAAGAAAAGCAAGAGCATTAATCTGATGTAGTTTCAAACTAAATTCTTCATCTTCGCCATATCTTTTACTAAGAGAATTTGTTTTAATTTGACGACATACACTTTGCCCTAGATGAAAAAGACAACCTATACAATTAGTGTCTGAATATTTACGTTTTGAAGCATTTATAGCCGCTTGCTCAAAATCAGTTAAAATTAATTGAGAATTTAAATTTAATTCATTTTCGACTGCAAAATTATTTAAATTTTCATAGCATTCTTCTCGTCATTCTTCTCGTTTTACTCGTCATTAAAGCATACACGAAAGGCAATATTTTTGCATTTTCTCCTGTTCCTACTACAGTATAGATTGTATATAATTGTCGAAAAAGTGTCGGAACAGTTTTAAAAGTATCGTCCAAGATCCAATATGAATGTCGTTTTATCTGTCTATCAGTTATCGCCTAACGGTATATCTTAAAATGAAAATCTTATCACGAATAGCGGTAAAATACAATTGATACTTAATACTTAGTACCTTTTCACATAGAACGATATTATCCATGATAAAATATTCGTCTGATTTAGTTTTTTTTTTTTTTAATTGTTGTTTATTAATAAATAATAATAATAATAACAATAAAATAATGAAATAGTAATAAAATATTGTATTTCAGTATTACGTACAGTAAAAATTTGTAAAATATATTGTCGGGCCTCGGGCAAATGTTATGTCGGGCAAACATAGTGTCGGGCAAATGTAGTGTCGGGCAAACATATCAGACCCACTAGTTAATTATAGAGTAGACTCTATACTCTATACTCTATACTTAACTAGAGAATTTACATTTTAACAAATAACGTTGTGGTTTTAAATTCAAAATTTATAAAAATAAAATATAATTTAAGTAATTGAAGTGGTTTTTTTTATTTGTCCATAGTAACATTTGTTTCGAGAAAGGAAATCAAAATAAATATCCAACTCTTGTTAAGTTTATCTAAATCAAAGTTAATAAAGTTAATAGTTAATAAGTTAATAACAAGTGCAGAACAATAACAGTCTTACAAAACATTCCCTTTTGGAGGAGGTAGCGTGAATTTTCCATGACATTTGGGACTTTCATGTGTGGTATGTGCATAATATAAAGAAAATATTTTATTAAATTTTAAGTATATATTTATATCTACCAATAAATGTATTATTAATACTTGAAACCTATTTTTAGTTTAAATTTGAATAACTATTTAAAATTGTGTATTGCAGAGTGTATAGTATATATTATATATACAATGTATATATATAAATATGTATATTATACATATAAATAAATGTTTAAAATATAACTTGTTTAACTTATCAAAAAAAAACTTTATGCACTGAACATTTGTGAATTATAAGCAATATGAATAAAAATAAGTAATTCTACTAGTATAAAAAAAGAATGTATTTAACTCTATTTGTTTGATAGTCTTAAAAAAGTTTATGTGTAACATATATTTTATTATATTACTTGGATCATTAGATCTGAGCTGTAAACTTGGTTTTTCTTTCAACAACCAATACGGAAAACCACCCTGAAATTAATATAAATCAAAAATTAATAATCTTAAGGTAATATGTATACAAAGTATTATTAAACATAATATTTTCATATTATTAAAATCATTAAAAATTCCAAAAAATATTTATAAAAATAAATATAATAGTCAAAAACAAGAGTCTTATCTGGATTAATAACAATTAATATTTACCGGTTTCAATTCGTAACAATTTGCCTACAATGAAATTCCAGACAAGATTTTTTTTTAAATCTCATATTTTGTAATAATTTTTATAATATAATATAATAATGTAATTTTTTATAATATAAAATAAGTCTATAAAATATAATGTAAGTATTGAATCAATGTAAGATTAAAATAATTAATATAATCATAAGTAAG